GATCTTGGTGCTTTTTAACTCTTTTTAACATGGAGACCTAATGTATGCTAACTCAGTACCAAATGCCAGAGGAACATTGGAAAGTTTAGCAGCTTAAGACCCAGATGTTACTAAAAGCTAAAAAGCTAAAGACGTGACTGAATATTGGCGGCAAAAAACATGACTCTGCTAATATATTAGCCATAACCACCCGATGATATGATGATATTGTTGGGCTGTGTCTGTCAGCTTGTTAGCCAATGCAGCTTTAAAGAAATGGCAGCAGTGGTGTTTTCAGTAAAGACAGCTTGTCAAACTCAGCTGATCTCTGATGCTTTACAACCAACACCTAATGCACTCCTTGCTCAGTCTACCTACTATTCATACATAAAAAGAAAGCATGAAGCTTCCCAGTGCTGTTTTAACAAGCTTTTTCTCCTCCCTCCACAGCTGAGCAACTGCCTTCCTCTGAGGCCCCGTTCACACCAGAAAGTCTACAAACTCTTCACCCTCCACTGGTTTGTTAAACCCACAACCAAGACTCCAGATGGGTGGAAGCACAGACAGACATTGTTGTAAACTGCCAGAGTGGAGATGGCCAAACATCCCGGAGAGACGATCCTTGTTTTCTTCATCTTGTCTCCATTTGTCTTTGTGTGGTGTTTTGAACTGCACTTTACATAATTAACTTGTCAATCAAACAATGTGGCCAGTACCAGGGTTTTTGTTGGTGACACCCTTTTCGTGTTTGTTCAGCCATGGTGGCTTTTGCTGCCTGTGCTAATCTGTTCTGTGTACTCCAAACAAAAGACCACCACACACCAGTGGTTGGGGTCGCCAAGGCTTCACAGGGCCTTCTTGGTTTTAAGGGATGTAAGAACATTTTAAAAATATACAAGGGCTATATATCAGCATAATGTTCATTTCTGTGAAGAAAACAAAATAAAATTGTTGTTTTTGAAGTTTAGATTATTATTTAAGATCTAAACTTGCCTAAACACAAGTTATATTCACAGAACTATCACTCATCGTCCTGCATTAGAAAAACAACTGAAGAAAACACAGAATTTGTCAAAAGACTATTAAAAAAACATAATAGAGACAGATAATTGTATACTTGCTCGTTTACACAAACTTCCTGCAGTTATTGTGTTCACTGTTTAGGTTCATAGTACAGTTTATCAGCTGTTCTCTCCTGTTATTGTTATACATTGAATATATTATGAAATATCCATAAATTATCTCAGAGGTCGTCAGTTTATATTCTAAATAAAGGTTGGGAACCGCAGCAATACACGACTGACAATCATTTACAAAATATGATGCTTCCACCATCTGGACCTGAGTGGAAACAGTACCCTAATACATGAAATGTGGCCTTAACAGAAGATTTTTCCTAATAAAGAGCTGGTAAACACAGGTTGTTTGGAGTATAAACGGAATGTTCACAGTTCTGTTGTCAGCAGTTGGTTTCAGTCGAACATTCTGTTGCTATAGCAACCACTACTGGCAGAGTTCCGTAGCAGTTTAACTGACATTGTCACAGTCGCCATTTTGTCCCGCCAATATCTTTTAACTACTCCCAAAATGCCCTCTTCTGAGCTTTTTCTCTAAGTTTTCTTTTTATTATAGCTGTTATTAGATTGTTTACCACTAACCAAGCTAGCAGTTATGCTGTCAGTGGCTAATGTGTTGCTAATTAGCCATCTAAGTAGCTTAACTGTTAATTAGTGTTGGGTATATTCCTCCTTTTTGGGTGTGAGATTTTAGAACCTGTGTGTGTTTACGTATATGTATGAAAATTGGTACGCACTTATATAATATCCAGACAAACAAATAAGTCTCTTGGAGCCATACCCCAAACCCAACAGGAAGTCGGCCATTTTGAATTTAGTGGTCATTTTTGGGTTCTTTTACTTTGAGCTCCTTCTAGGGAAATGATCGGCTCTTCTTCAAATTAAGTCAGTGCGATGTAAAGACCATGATGATGCACAGTAGTACTAGTTTTTGTTGAGTCTGAGGTGTGGCGTCAAATTTAAAATTTTTTGGTAAGAAACAGGAAGTTGTTGTAACTTCAGTGTAATTTTCATCTACACATGCAAATATTCAGTCATAGTCACACATACTGGAAACAGGAAGTTGTTTGGCGATCTGACTTAGGCTACATGAAATTTTGAAGGTATGTTATGTAATAGTAAAGGCAGAACAGCATTCGGTACCTATCTGTTTATATAAAATGCACCAAACTAGAGTGGACTCCGGTGCCGAGTGTTGAACCATAACAGCTAAGCGTGCACATCGGATCAGCCTGGTCCAAAGTTCTGAGAGCTACTGGCCAACATACTGTGAGACTCCAGCACCGGACATTTAAGCCAAACCCAAATCTGATCGGCAACAGCTGTTGGCTAAAAACACACACATAATACATACACACACAATGACATGCTGACACGAAAAAGACTTCAGCGCCTTATCATATTTGTCATGGCTGTGTTTTCCCCGACGGTACTCTGTGTGTGTTTTTGTTATTGCTGGCCCTGACCAGCTCCTGATGCCAGAGTGGAAACATCAGCACCCCAGGGGTTTATAAAGACTGGTCTGGATAAATGAATAAATGGCAGACAGAATGAGAAAAGGAATCTTTAGTTCATCAAGGTATCGTGTGTTTAAACTCTTTTTTATTCCAGAAAGTTGGCATCAAATCCCATCTGTGTTATTCTCATGTTGGACAATTTGAATGCTCACGTCAAATAAAAACATATTTATCGTGTGCAATGGAAAAGTACTGGAAATACAGAATGTTCTCTCTTAATGCATAATGGTATATTCAGCTGTCTTGATTATGGATTTTGCATCATATATAAGAATTACAGGTGTGCTTAAACTCTCCAAACTCTCTCTATAAAAGCATATATAATAATTAGATGAGTGGTTCCGGTGGGCCACTACATGCCTTTAAAAATGTCGGGAAAATTATTAATTATTATATGCTGTAATTTCTTGCATCGACTCATTTAAAACAGTTGAACTGAACTGATTTAATTAGCAGAGACAGCTCTTATAACTTGTTGTCAGTCATGTGATTGATGACGCGTGAAGTGTCAGAGGGAGGAAAGTCCGTGTTGTGCTAGTTTAAACGATATTACAAGAGAAAGGTACAAACAGAAGATCA